GGGATTCTATAATATAAGTACAGTGTCAAATCGATTCCCAACTTTTTAAAAATCATTCTTTTTTTTTCTTTCCATTATTTTGTTAGTAGATATTCCACACTGTGATAATAGAAGATCTCCCAGCAATGGTGAAATGTTGTAAGAGCCAGGGCGCCAATTTACTGTAGGGTGACCTTGCGCTCAAGGCACTTTCTAGACATTTTCACTGTAGGGAGTTGTTCATTCCCAAGATTAGAGTATCATTTTTTATGTCAAAATTGTGGTCAGTCTGGTTACGGTGGGCAACCAATGAATTTGAAAAAGAATCCAAACGAAATCGTCAAGATTAAAACAAAAAAATCAAATTTAAAATGCCCAGCATCCCTCATTCGTGCGCATGTGTAGTCGCACCAACATAACAAATTTAGTCCGATGAAGTCCTAAAGGACGAAATGCGTCACAAGAAAACTTTTTCCATTTTGTCATACATTTTCGCTAATATTGTTCTTGAAATATAAAAGTATATATCGTTATCTTATATATATATATATATATATATATATGTGTGTGTGTGTGTGTGTGTGTGTGTGTGTGTGTGTGTGTGTGTGTGTGTGTGTGTCTGATTAAATAAATTACAGACATTATGTCTGCTAATTTTTAATAAAATCCGTTCATGAAATCCCAAGTACTTTCGATCTTTTTCCAAGATCATCTTCAGGGGTGCAAGTAGTACAAAATGATCTTAGAAGAAGACCGAAAGTACTTTGGAAATGAAAATAAAAGAAATTTAAACAGCTATAGCACATTTCTCTCATCCTTTAACATCAATACACGGAACGTTATTCGTGAGTATGAATGGATTTTATTATAAATTATCAGACATAATATCTGTAATTTATTCAATGAGACATGTCTAAAAGAGAATATATATATATATATATATATATATATATATATATATATATATGTGTGTGTGTGTGTGTGTGTGTGAAAGCTTCATTAAGCGCAACTGATAATTTAGGTATACTCTATTTTTATCACTGCTATTTTATATCTTTCAGGGCATTGGATATCATAGTTTAGATGACAAGAGTTCGCACTGATGGGTTCTTTTATATGGGTAGGTGATAGATACTTTAGTTCTATATCAACATTAAGGAATTGGATGTTGTTATTAACCATGAATTCGTATGTCAGTTTTAATGTGGAGTTTATTTCGAAACTTGACTCTAGATTTAAAATTTCGTCCTTATTTTTAATCAAAACAAAAATGTCGTCGACATCTAATATAGATTTCTGGTTTGCATATTGTTTCGAACACTTTGTTTTCAATGTGTGACATGTAAAAGTTAGAGAAGGCAGGATCTAAAGTGTTTCCTATACTAACGCTCTTAGTATATATACGGGGTGTCCATAAAGTTCGTGTGCACTTTAAAAAATTTATAACTTTATTTGTATTTGCGATAGAAATAATTTGTAAAAAAGATTAGAAAGAAGTAAATCTATATTTTTTAAGGTTTTATTGAAATTTTATTTAAGTTTACACATGTCCTCCATCATTAGAAATACAAAGGGTAATACGATTTTGCGGTTCACGGAAACCATTTGCCAACTGATTTACAGTAATGCCTGAAATCACACTAGTTATTTTTAGTTATACTTAAAACTAGGTGCATTAAATTTTATAATATTTGTTACAGATTATTTCTATCGCAAATACAAATAAAATTATAATTTTTTAAAGTGCACACGAACTTTATGGACACGCTGTATATATATATATATATATATATATATATATATATATATATATATATATATATATATATATATATATATATATCGTACATAGAGTGCTAGTGCTAATAGTGTTCGATGTAATATAACAGAACTATTAAGTATAAATTCATATATTAATTTATTTCGTTCCGGGTCCCGCCCAGGGGTCTAAGGTTAGAAATGGCATCATGACATTTTCCACTGACAAAAAAACAAAAACAAAAAATACAAAAACAAAAACAAAAAACATATTTTACATGGATAAAGCCCTTCATAAGGTGTAGGCTGTACCCGTGAGAACAAGTTTTTGTATTTCTTTAAGGCTTGGGCTACCAGGAATCCCTTCAATTTACTGGAATCTTTTCCAATCAATCCGAGGGCTCTAACTACAACAGGGATTGTTGATGTTCCCATGTGCCACATTTTTTAGATTTCGATTTCAAGGTTCTTGTATTTTGATAGCTTTTTGACGATCTTCAAAGGTATATTACAGTCCACAGGGACTGCCATATCAATAAGGAGGCATATTTTTTTTTTGCGGTCTCTAATAACAATGTCTGGGCGGTTAGCTTTGATTGTTCTGAACGTGTGTATTGTGTAGTCCCATAAAATTGTAACAGGTCCTATCTCCGTAACCGGGTCTGGGTGGTGTTCAAGTTTCTTTTAGTTTCCTTCCCGTAGAAGTTGCATATTTTCCAGTGCAGATATTGGCCCACTCTGTCATGCCGGGTTTTATATTCAGTGGGTGCCAATATCGTGCAACCTGATACAAGATGATCAATTGTTTTTGGATATTTATCACAGAATCTGCATTTTGGGGTGACACAGTATTTTAGTATATGTGCTTGATAATTTCTAGTTAACAAGCATTGGTCAAGTGCAACAAGGATAAAACCTTCAGTTTCAGCTTTCAACCCTGCACTACGTAGCCACTGATGGGTACGGGTTTTGTCTACGTCAGCTTGTTTGCTACGGGCAGAGTATTGGCCATGAAGTGGTCTATCTTGACATTGTTTCTGTATCTGGTCGGTTGCATTTGTCTTTGCTTTCTTTTTTAAGTATATTATTATCATTATTACTATTATTATTATTATTATTCTGCCTGACAAGGGAAAAGAGTGCAAGCGAACTAATACGCGTACACACGAACAAAGGCAGGCTCGCATAAACATACATATGAAATGGTGCTAAATTATTATTGGATTCCCCCATGAAAATTACGGAATCATCGCTGCATGGTGACTGTCAGTTTCACACTTCACAGCGATCTTCTAAGTGTCACTACTCGTTTAGCAGTCTCTCTCTCTCTCTCTCTCTTTTTATATATATATATATATATATATATACATACACACACACACACACACACACACACACACATATATATATATATATATATATATATATATATATATATATATATATATATATATATACAGTGCTGTTCGATAAAAGTGACTCACCTGATTTTTTTTTTTTACTAAATGTTCTCTTCTCCGATGAAACGAAAGTTGAGCTAAATTCAAAGGATAAGCGATCTAAAATCCGAAGAAGAAGCTTTGAAAGCTCTTTGAATTTAGCAGTAAGTACTGTCAAGCATCCGTTCAGTATAATGTTCTGGGGATGCTTTTCTTTTCATGGAACTGGTTTCTTAAAAACTATTGAAAAGACCCTCAGGAGCGAGCAAGTACAAGAGAATTTTAGAGTTTTGTCTGCTCCCTTCTGCTGAAAGGGTGCAAATCGACCCCACCAAGCTCATTTTTATGCAGGATAATGCTCCCTGTCACAAATCAAAATTGATGAAGGAATACTTTGATGAGAAGCAGGTGAGTGTTATGATATGGGTGCCCCAATCTCCTGACCTCAACCACATAGAAAACTTATGGAGCATGTTGCTTAACTGCTTTCTCGAGAGCCTGTACTTTATAATGTGGAAGGAGGAAATAGCCACTGCCATACAGGAGGACAGGTATCACAGCAGTTTAGAACTCTTTTCCTTGTCTCTAACGGAATTTTCCTATTTTACTATCCACCAAGAATCGGACATTTCGGTCTCAGTGAGATTACGGGCTAATAATTAAAGATTTAATATAGTCACCATTGACAGAACTTTGTCTTAATGAAATAAAGGAAGAGCACTAAACAAAGATGTCTGCGCCCTGTGTAGAACTTTAATGTCTTTCGTTCGAGGTTTTGAGAATATCTGGAATATATCGAATATGTTACTGAGCTGAAAGGACATATATATATATATATATATATATATATATATATATATATATATATAACAGGGTTCAAAGAGACAGTAGTTGATTACTGACGTTGCCTCTAATGTTTTGAAGATTATAGTTGAAAGGAAGTATAGTAAACTAGACTATCCGTGACCCGTTGGGTCAGTGACGGGTCAGGTTATAAAACGTTGATTTCAACATTCCATTGAAATGAAACTTAATTTTATTATTATTCAGTTAAATATTTTAATTTTTGTGTATTGTCATTGATTTACAAGTTCATGTTTAACGTTTTACTGATTGTTTACAGCATTTGAGAGGAATAAAGCTTCCGGGATAAATTTGAATTTTAAATCAGATTAACTTAAAAATATTTTTTAATATGCCAAAAAATTATATTTTTAAATTAATATTCACTTGAAAATGTTTTTTTTTAAAAATGGCAAAAAATATTTTTAAAATATTTAAAATAATATTTGTTTAAAGAAAGTTGAAATATAAATAATATAATTACTCTACAAATCACTGGACTAAACAACAAAGCGGGATCTCTTTGTGTCTGTCTTTAACTTAAAATATTTTAATTAAAAAAATTGTCTGTTTGAGGAAAGTTAAAATGAAACTACTTACTGTATAAACAATTCGGAAATCATTATGCGCCGGACGGACGCACCACACAAGAACATTTAATATTACATAGATAGATTGTAATAAGTCGAATGTGTGTTGATTTCATTTGATTTTTTACGGCTTATCACCTCTTTGCAGGTTATTTAAAGTCAGAATTTTTTTTATTTATATAGCACAAGAATATTTATTTTTTTTTTTTTAGATAATAATGGTTTAGTGATATAAGACTTACAAATTAACCCATAGCTGGAGGGAAAAGCGGTGGATTCATACCGTTCCTCACGATATTTGTGCGTAAGTGAATGTAACGAACCCAACTGGAGTTGTCACTCGGCTCCCCGATTATCAATTCCGAAGCATTACACCGCCCGCACATCCAAGCTTACAGCACCTGGTATTCCCAAACGGTTACCCATCTAGGTACTGATCAGGCTCGACGTTGCTTAACTTCGGTGACCATAAGGTAATCGGTGTTGTAACATGATGTGACCATACGCCCATTACACTACTCTCACATCCTGTATCTGTTATTCCGAAGCAGTTACCCATCTAGCTACTGACACGTTGCTTAACTTCGGTGATCGTCCGGGAACCGTTGTTTCAATATGATGTGGCCGTAAGTCTATTATATCACCCTCACATCCAACCTTACTGCGCCTGGTATTCCCAGACGGTCACCCATCTAGGTACTGAGCAGGCTAGACGTTCATTTCGGTGATCGTACCGGAACTGGTGTTTCAACGTGGTACGGCCATAAGTGTCTGAAGGGCAAAGAGTTAAATGTTGAGTGAGTCAATAACTTCAGTTATGCTTTTAAAATTTGTGTCCCTCTTTTCACTTAACCCATCCGAAAAAATTCAATCGAAATAAAATTAAACATAATTAATCGAAGCTTGAGAAAAAAAACTAATTCGTATAATGAACCTGAATCTTTACAGGAGACTCGGTTTGAGAGTTCTTCGCTGTCAGCTCAACTGTGTCAACCCTTGTGCAGATCTAGCCACCCACCCTGATCAGAACACTGCTACAGAACAGTATTCTGGCTGAACTGACTCTTGTCTTTTTTTTTTTTCTTTTTTTTTTATTGTCCTGAATCGACATATCCTGATTGACGAGACAATTCATAGGGGGAAAGAGGTAAGGCAGGAAATATAAATTTATTCTTTTCTACTCAAACTGCGGCGCCACTACGTTGCGGTCGGCAGAATCTGGCAGGCATAATGCAGGGTTTTTACTTTATAAGACGCAATGATATAATACAACTGACACTGTCCGTATTATATTGCATGATTATATTTTACACACACACACACACACACACACACACACACACACACACACACACACCTCTGAGTGACTGGTGTGTTTATGAAAAAAAATAAATACGCAAAAATTCGCCTTTCTTCCTGCCGGGCGTTGATGGCCTAGGGGTTAGAATCTCCGACTAATACTAAATCGGTCAATCGATCCCGGGTTGATGCGATCGGATGTCTAGCCACACTGATGAGGTGTGATACAGCGAAAAAGTTTGTCTGTGGATGACTATATATATATGTGTGTGTGTGTGTGTATGTGTTATACCTGACGTACCTATTCTATTATTAATAGACTCTCCCACACATAATAAGTAGTAGTAGTAGTAGCGGTCGCCAGTTGGGCTCAGTGGTGTTGAGTGAGTCTGTCGGACATTGAAGTATCAACCATCACAACTAGATTGCTGCGTCATTAACTCTTATTTCAAGTTCCTAACCTTTTGTACGTCGAACGTAATTTAGGACGACTTATTGAAACACAAGGCTCCACTGTGAAAACTAATCTACAACAGTATGTATGTATGTTAAGACATTTTTATGTTTATACATTCTTTTTATAGATACAAATATTTAAGTAAATTCTCTGTTTATAATAAACAGTATTAAACAACATTTACCAGAAAATATTCGTCCTCCGACAGGAATCGAACCTGTATCCTATATGGAACCGTCATATAGCCTGACGTGCCTTTAACCGATTGGGCCACAGAGGAGCGTTCGGTTAGCAAGGTCGATGTTACTGTCTTTAAACTACAATCTTCCATGATTCTCTCACGTACATTCATATCTGCTCAAAGCGTATCCAAATGTAAACAAATGACGTCACACATTATGAAATGAACAAAGTCTGACTATTATTTTAAGACATTTTTATGTTTATACATTCTTTTTATAGAAGTAAACAGAGCATTTAATTAAATATTTGTATCTATAAAAAGAATGTATAAACATAAAAATGTCTTAAAATAATTGTCTGACATTGTCCATTTCATAATTTCATAATATATGTATGTATAAATTTCAGATAGAGTAAAAAGACAATACGAATAAAGATAAAAGGAAAAATTATCTTAGCCGACATATTTTGTTCTCAAAAAAATAAAATAAAAATTCAAAAACATCACTTACTCGCTTTCGTTTTTTAGACATTCAATTGTGTCACTTCGTGTCCTCCATAGATTGCCTGACTTTTCAGCTAATCTGCTGAATATTTATGAGCGTTCCTAAACTTAAAAGTTTGAAAAACCAATAACATTTTAGCTCTTGTGTATAAATACTTCTTACAAAATAAAATCCCCGCATTTGCCTAGATAAAGTTCCTCAAAGGACGAAACACGTCGGCCAAGATAAGTTTTCCTTTTGACATTATATATATATATATATATATATATATATATATATATATAAAGAGAGAGAGAGAGAGAGAAAGCGAGAAAGAGAGAGAGTGAGTGAGATGGTGATGTGGGTGATGAATTATTTTCCATCCTGAAACCCCTTTCCCATAGACAAAAAGTTGCTAGACTCTCGCTACATTCCATGTTTCCATCAGTCCAGATATTCTCAGCTACGACCCGCCATTTAACATACACTGAGTAAACTCATCCTTATTCACTTCATTTTCCATTGAGCAGGAGAAAGTTGCATTGTGGAACAGACTCGTCAGAGGATGCATCCCTGATCATCACAATTTTAAGCTCTTCAAGTCTATTGTCAATAATTGCCTATCCTATATATACTCATAATATGCACCATTTGCTCGCTACTTGTACGCACTTCCAATAACTTCATTCAGCAACTTGAGTGGTTCTTAACCCTTTGAGCCCTGCGTTCATGATCAATTTTTACCCTTCTACCTGGGCTCCTGAGTCAATATTCGCTAATAATTGGTATGTAATGTTTCACGCTAGATATGAAAATAGTTACAAGTGTTTACTCACCGTTCAACCGTTGGCTGGGTATTAAGTCATTTTTCTTTACCACTGTTGAACCGGTGGTTAGGCGTTACGTCATTTTTCTCTACTACTGGTAAAGCGTTGGTCAGGGCTCAAAGGGTTAAGCATTGTATTGGGTGAAAATTATTAAAGAAAAGACCTTGTTATTCGGCTTAAGATGTACAGTAGGACAAGTCTCAAGTCGAAATATTCCTAAAAAGTTATGAATACTAGTAAAAAAAAAACATTTTTCGTTTCTTTTTCCGCACTTTTTCACTTAATTAAAAGTGCGCATGCGCCAGATTTTTGTGTGTGTGTGTTCGCATTGAATAATTAACTGAAAACATAAAGAAATGGCTTCTTTTATTTTAGACTGTGGCGTTTAACATTTACAGAACAACGACATGAGAGTTAAAAAGAAAAGGGTAAAAATATATCTCCTTTATTATTTATTAATATTTCTTTAATTCCTCCAATTCAGCCTGCTACACTTAAGAGACGCTATGCTGCAGCCACAGAATCGAATCACTCTCGTTTCCTCTGTATTCCCAAAATGTAAGGAGACAGTTCCACACAGAAAGCATTTTCCTAAGAACATCTACTCCATGGAACATTCTCCTGCGATGATGCTTCCCTGCAGACTACAATCTTAACCTATTCAAGTCAAGGGTCACTCGTTACCTACCTTCCCTATTCTAATAATCTTCACTTCTCACCATCTCTCCTTTCATTCATATCACACCCCTTCTTCATTATGACCAAGATTAAGCTTCTACCTTGAGTGACTCTTGAGCTTTGTATTTGGTGAAATTTACGATGAATAAATTCCCTAATTTACATTTTCATTCTTTTTGTAATTGCAAAAACAGCGGCTTCTCTTGACTTCTTACATGAAACGCTGTGTGAATCGCGTCGTTTACAATCACATGTCAGCTGAAGCGACCACCTACAGTGAGCTTGTAAGCAATTTCTATGGGAGTCAATCGCTTGATAAATCTGCAGAGAATTCACTTTTCATTATGGCCGACATTATATTTTATTATCGGTCTCATTGTCTACGTATTTTATACAGACTGCCTATTCCTATTTGCTCTTAATCTTTTCCCAGTTTATATATCTATCTATCTATCTGCTCAGATCTAATACAATCTGTTCGATCTATGACAATCTGCTCAAATGTATTTATTCGTCTATGGCAGTCTGCTCACTCTATCTATCTATCTATCTATCTATCTATCTATCTATCTATCTATCTATCTAACCTCTTTAATATCTATCTCTGACAATCTACCCAGATCTATCTATCTATCTATCTATCTATGACAGTCTGCTCAGATCTAAGACAATCTGTTCGATCTATGACAATCTGCTCAGATGTATCTATCCGTCTATGACAGTCTTTTCACTCACTCACTCACTCACTCAATCTATCTATCTATCTAGCTAGCTGGCTAGCTAGCTAGCTATGCTTTTCACTCCTTTCATATCTATCACAATCTTCTCAGATCTATCTATCTATCTATCAATCGATCGATCAATCTATCTCACTCCTTTAATATCTATCTATCACAATATACTCAGATCTATCTATCTATCTATCTATCTATCTATCTATCTATCTATCTATCTATCAAAATTTGCTCATATCTATCGATAACAATCTGCTTCGGACTATCTATCGATATAAACTTCTCACTCATTTCATATTTAGCGAAATATGCGTGTATAACCGAAGAATTAAGAAATCTTCAAACAAGTATTTAAAATTTCAATAACTTATTATTTTTCTTTCAAATTGAACGAAATGAATTACAAAGATTCGAAAAACTTCACACAAAATGTTTTGTGTATATTTTTTGTTACACTCCAACCGAATGAATTGCGTTAGTATAGGATAAACGAAAAATGCGTCTATATATGTGCAGATCTATGTGACACAGGCTTACATTGTTTTCACTGTGTGTATGAAATCCCAGCAGCAAGCCGCCTGAAATAAAGGCAAGGGAAGTTAGATGCAACTGTTGCTGCATTTATAAAGGTTAACGGAATGTTGTCAGTATCGCTAAACATAATTTTTGTAACATTTTATGCTTGAATAAATATGCTAAAGATGTGAGTAATTAAATAAGTATGAGAATTTCAGTTTTGTCTTTGTAATAAACGATCGAACAAACAACCTGGTCAAAGTTTCATTGAAAGACAAGTTAGCAAAAAAAGAATTATTCATATTTATAATAAAATATTTGGCTCCGGGTAAATCAAAAATTTAGATTTATTAATCTCAAGCTTATTAGCTAATATATATTTCCCAATTTTTAAATATTCCTTTTAAGGTAGAGAAATATTGTTGATCATATTCTGAAGTTGAGCCTCCAAAATTTCATTCATGTACATAAATACAAAGATTCAAGTATCTGGATCTTATCAATGTATAAAATTGAGTTACTTTCAGTGTGATCAGTTTTCACTGACATTATCTATCTATCTATCTATAGATAGATAGATAGATAGATAGATAGATGAAGAGGCTGAGATAGATAGATGCCTTTCTGCAAGAGATTGCATCAGCTGAGATAGATAGATAGATAGATAGATAGATAGATAGATAGATAGATAGATAGATAGATATGAACAAACTGAGATAGATAGATAGATAGATAGATAGATAGATAGATGAAGAGGCTGAGATAGATAGATAGATGACTTTCTGCAAGAGATTGCATCAGCTCGGATAGATAGATAGATAGATAGATAGATAGATAGATAGATAGATAGATAGATAGATGAAGAGGCTGAGATAGATAGATGACTTTCTGCAAGAGATTGCATCAGCTCGGATAGATAGATAGATAGATAGATAGATAGATAGATGAAGAGGCTGAGATAGATAGATGACTTTCTGCAAGAGATTGCATCAGCTCGGATAGATAGATAGATAGATAGATAGATAGATAATGAATAGACATAGATAGATAGATAGATAGATAGATAGATAGATAGATAGATAGATAGATACGCAAATTCCATTAATTCAAATAACCGATTGTATACACACACACTAAATACACCTTTATATACATACTCAGGCGTTTATATGCACACACAGCCATAGAAACAGATAGACAGATATAGGTAATGAACAGAACCAGATAGATTATCTATTATACTGACATTATCTATCTATCTATCTATCTATCTATCTATCTATCTATGTCAGTGCTATGTGAGCACAAAGAGTTATAAATTATGATCTTAAACAGGTAAATTGAATTCTGTTTTATGAAGATGATCGTCTGTAGCGAAATTGCTAACGGCATACTTCGGTTATAGGAATACTTTCCCTGGTGGGGGAAAAAAAAGATACAGTTTGAATTCCTGTCGGAAGATCGGTTCTTATAAATTTCACTGTTTCAGAAAATTAAAAAAAATAAACAGGGATAACATCTAAAGCAGAGGTACCCACTAAAAATAACATTAATAGTAAAAATCGCCATCAAGTATTACAAAACGCTAAGAAATTGAACACGATCACCAATATTATAACAAAAATCAAAACTTCCACATATAAATGTTATTTATGAATCCACTTGCCTAGAAAATGTAACTTTAACGATAATACTTCAAATAACGCATACATTGGTTTCACAATCACGATATTATCGCGCCGATTAACGCGCCATTTATCCGATAACAGCTCAATTAAATAGCATATAATCAACTAACGCAACAAAGAAAAAACATAGCAAGAAACCCGACAAATCCTTATCAATAACACGAAAAATTATATCACGTAAACTGTAAAAAAGACTAACCATTAGAAGCATTAAGCACAGAATATAAACAGCCTAACATCAAAAATGTTATCGAATTCATGAATAAACATTATACTATAGGACTATATTTTATACTATATTTAATTAAAAAAAAGAATCAAATAAATAAACGATAGCACAAACTCTCACGAGAAGACGCAGGGAGAGATATTTCAAAAAGAGGAAACGGACATAATAAGCAAAAATTAATGTTTTATGAAAGGCAAAAGAATTCAGATATTCATATTTAGATATATACCGGAAACCATAAAAGTGAGCCAAAGAAAATATTCAATAAAGAACTTTGGTTGGTCTTTAATGAAACATATATGAATGAATAACTGTTTTATAAATACGTATATATATATATATATATATATATATATATATATATATATATATATATATATACTGTTCTTTCTTTTTTTTATTTATATATATATATATATATATATATATATATATATATTATAAATTAATATTAACACTGAAATAAAAATAAAAATATCTATAAGAACACTGGATTATATATCTTACTGTTCTTTTATTATATATATATATATATATATATATATATATATATATATATATATATATATATGTATGTATGTGTGTGTATAAACCAGATATAACCAAAATTTATCTGTAAGAGCAATATGAATAAAGACAAAAGAAAAACTTAGCTAAACACGTTTAGGCCTCTGATCGACTTTTGCCTTGATAAAGTCCATCAGAGGAGGAAAGTGTTTATGAAAATAGATTTCCCATTTATATATATATATATATATATATATATATATATATATTTATATATGTGTGTGTGTGTGTGTATGTATATATATATATATATATATATTATATATATATATATATATATGTGTGTGTGTGTGTGTGTATATATATATATATATATATATATATATATATATATGCATATGCGGCTCGGATTGAGGAATCGGAGAGCCGAGTTCAAATTCCAGTCGAATCCATTACATCCACTTTAACCCTTGAGAATGGTATTAATCCTTTTCTTCTCCCTCCAGCTATGGGTAAATAGCAAGGCAAACTGGATGTTCTTCTCCTACACAAGGCAACTGGTCTAGGAAAAGTACAAGGGTCGTTTGGGGACCTTGTGGCACGTAGTACACCAGGTCTCTGTATTCTGCCCTTCAAAAAGTGTGGTTGATTCTGCACAAAAACCTTCACCACTATAACCAAATCATGTGTGTTGTCGATCCTAGGACGACGGGAGGGCCCGATATATATATATATATATATATATATATATATATATATATATATATATCTGTGTGTGTGTGTGTGTGTGTGCAAAAACTATAGAAAAATAGGAAAGAACACGTTAGGTAAATAATCCGAAGTTCTTTAATATTTTTGTTTTTACTTAAAAAAAAACAGTGCTCAATACTAAAGTAGAGCCTAAAGTATAATTATTTTTAAAAAATATGACTCTTTCGCTACATAAGAGTTCCCATGTTTCAAAAACAAGAGCCAAAAACTTTTTCATCCTCAAGCGAAATGTTTGGTTCCAAAAATTTCCCTTGAGGATGAAACAGAGCTTGAAACTTTTATTCAATTTAATTTTAATAATTATATTAAAGTTTTTGGCCCTGTTTTTGAATAATGAAAACTCTTATGTAGCAAAGGAATCATATTTTTATAAAATATATATATATATATATATATATATATATATATATATATATATATATATATATATATGCATGTATATATAGTGAGGTTAAATCCGTTTAGATATCTGTATCACTGACTGTACTTTTATCGAAGATTTTCCTATACGTTTCCTTTGAATGTGCAAATATCTCTGCAATCAATATGTCCCCTCTTTCTCTCTTGCAAGTTTACACATTTGACTATGCATCAGTAAGCTAAATGTCGCTGGCTGTTTGCTTGTTTCTTTCGATCGTTCATTTCTTCCTTTCTTTCCTTTGCTGCTTATTTCATTCTTCCATCTCATCCCTCCTTATTTCTGGTTGTCTGCAATCTATTTCTTTCATTCCTTCAGCTCTTCCTTTTCTCTTCCCGCCATTTTTCACTTAATTACAACCGCGCATGCGCCAGCCTTTTTTTCTTTTTTTTTTGTGGGCGCATAAGTAATTAACTGGAAAGCTTCCATTGATATACCAGTCGGCGACGAAAGGATGACACTAGAACATTTTATTATTATTATTATTATTATTATTATTGTTCTTGTTTTTGTTGTTGTTGTTGCTGTTGTTTTCCTTCTTTTAAATGTTCATCTCACTGAACGGCATTGTAAAGTCTGAACACGTCTTTACCTTAGCACTCAAGAAGATTATTCAGCACGATACATTGTACAAAAAAAGACTAATTTCTTTTTGTGTTGTAGAAGTTCTTTATTTTTTAGTCTATCTTTTAAAATGTACCCTCCAAATTAGGGTTCTTTGATGTGCCTTAAACTGCGCACCAAAATAAAATGTTAGGGTGCTAAGTCAGATCTTTAAAGTGAGGTAGGGCTAAATCAAATATTCACTGTGATGACAGGCTAAATCAAATGTTCAAATTGAGGTGGGATTAAATCAAATGTTCAAAGTGAGATGAGACTCATTCAAACTTTCAAAGTGAGGTGGAGCGAAATCAGATGTTCCTAGCGTGGTGTTCAAAATAGAGGTGGGTCTAAATCAGATATTAAACGTGAGGTCGGGGTGAATCATATGGTGAAAGTGAGGTGTGGCTAAATCAGTTGTTCAAAGTGAGGTGGAGCTAAAATAGATAATTGAACGTGAGTTGGGACTAAATCAGATGTTCAAAGTGAGGTGAAGCCAGATCAGATGTTCAAATTGATGTAAGGCTAAGTCAGATGATCAAAGTGATGTTGGGCTAAATCAAATGTTAAATCTTAAAGATTCTTGCTTCTCACTGTTTTTGTTTATCTGATTATCTGATCATCACATAAATTGAATCATCCTAGATCTATTGCATATATATATATATATATATATATATATATATATATATATATATATAGATAGATAGATAGATAGATAGATAGATAGTGCATTCTGTTCGCCTGGCGATCACGGAGCCGTAAAATTTAAGTTGCAATCTGAACTTTCTGACGCTGTGAATCGTTTTTGGTCTATATTACTAACCGAGGCATACAGCAATGTTAATTACTGTTTAAATAGGGTGGCTACTTTTTGGTACTTTATTCTATTTATTAGTTTATTTTTATTTTTTTAATTTTTATTTTTTTCTTTTTAGTTTTATTTTATAGGTTTTCTTGGTTTTTATTGTTAGTAATTTTTTCTTTTTAATTTTCTTTTGGTCATCTGACAAACTTTCTTTTGGTTGTACCAACAATTTGTATTTTCATATATATATATACATATATATGTGTGTGTGTGTGTGTGTGTGTGTGTGTGTGTAAAAATCCAGATATAACTAAAAATTTATCTGTAAAAGCAATATGAATGAAGGCAAAACGAAAACTTATCTCAGGCAACACGTTTCGGTCTCTGATCGATTTTGCCTTGATGAAGTTCATCAGGAAAACATTATGCAACATATGAGGGTCAAGCAGCTCAGTTCTTAGAACCAACAGCCAGACTACCCGCATATCTGATACAACCATACTTATTGAATTCCGTGCTGTTCTTCTCCTAGACCGCTTGCTAGCCAAGGTTATAGGACCCAATCTGTCCTGTTATTTAGCCATACTCATTTCTCCAAGTTCTCCGTTCGTAATGTCCTGCTAAAAACAGATGGATTCATAACTTCCTCTTTGCACGTAAATGAATGAAAATAACTCGACTGGAATTCGAATATAGTGATTTTCTAAGTATAGTCTAGATGTGGAACAAGGCCGAAAGTATATGGCACCCAGCGAGGATCGAACTCACGACTCATTTGTAATTGTTCTAACGAGACAAGCTTGCTAACCATTACACCGCCTCGAGGTGCCCGTACGAACTCGAATATATATATACATATATGGAATTGTGTTATCCGTTACGAGTGGTTGACTATAACTTTTGAATATTAAGTTCAAACTTTCAATGTTAAATTGAATCATTTAATTTAACTTTGAATAACCACAAAATGCCGTAAAATCAATTATCCTATTCGTTCTTTCATTCGAGTATTATTTGTATATATTTCGTTAAGTATGTCCACTATTTCGGCATAAATTTTCTATATTGAAGTTTAAAATGA